ACTTTTAGGAATTGGCAACGTATTGTCACTTGTGAAGGGAACAGAGGGATGATAACTTCGTAATAATGATGGCCACTAACATTTATTAAACTGTATGTGCTCATCATTGGGCAAGGTATTTTAGTGCATCATCATCACATTTAATTTAATCCTCATAACCCTATGAGGCAGGTATCATTGTTACCCTCAATTATAAGTGAGGACACTGGGATTCACAGGGCTTACCTAACTTGTCCAAGGTCACACAGCCAAGCCAGCTTCAAACCCAGGCTGTCTGACTTCATAGTCTAAGCTCTGCAATTGGATAAATCAAAAAAAGCTGGGGATATACATATCACTATCAGTGAGAAAGAGACAGAGAGAGCAGCAGATGTGAGAAGAAAGACAGGGCGGCAAAGACTATCCAGACGGAAAGAATACTGTGTGGAAGGAAAGAGCCCTGAATTAAACATTGGGAGGTCTGGATCCTCTTCCTGGGGGGCACAGTGTGACCGAGGGGAAATAATTCTTCTCTCCATACATAAGAAGAGAATTCTTCTCTGTAATATAGAAAAACACATTCACATACAGCACAGAGGTGCGTTAAAGATAAAAATGTTAAAGTGAAAACAAAACTCCAAAACACCATACAAATATCAATAAAATAAAAAACAAAAATGAACAAAAAAATTAAGAATATATTATAGATTCCCCAATCATAGAAAATGGTAGAACTCAAACTACGAATAAATTAACGATGAACATTAATTAGGCCTAAAGGCTCATAAAACGCCAACAAGGCTGCTGGGATTGTCCTTTCCCTTCCCCAATCACATCGCTGACACTTAAAGTCACAGAAAATGCTTTTAGTGTTAGTAGGTTTTGTTGTTGTCGTTATCGTTGACTATTGCAGAAGACACTTGTAAAACCAAAAACGCAAACCCGGGTCAAAATTAGCCTGATTTAAGGTAATTAAAAAGTATATATGTGTATATATGTATACATATATATTTTTTTCAATTGATTATATCTATTTATTTCAGCACTGTGAGACCCGGAGCAGAGGAACCCAGCTATGCTGTGCAAGCAACAGAAACTGAGATAATAAACGGGTGTTGTTTTAAGCCACTAAGTTTGTAGTAATTTGTTACGAAGCAACAGAAAACTAACATGATACCTGAGGTGATAAAGAAAACCAGAAAAACAAGACTACTATTAACTCCAGGATTGGGAACATAGGACTGTGCAAGAAAGGAAAAGTAATCATCAGGTAGGGAGGTTTTAACCATGTCCACAAATCCTTTGACACTATTATCATGGTATCTACATTCTTGAAGTTCAGCCAGCCTTGGTGACTTGCTCATAACCAATAGAATGCAGCAGAAATGATGCTAAATAACTTCCCGGGTGAAGTCATTTTCTGCCCTGCTCTCTAGAACACCCACTCTAGAACCCGTTTCACCAAAGAGTTTGGCATTGGATTTTTGGGCAAAGCACAGCTTTTCCATTTTCTGTTTACTAATTCTAGATTTTCCATTTACTGTTGTCCCTTGTCAATATATCCTTAGGGACTTCAAGGAGAGGAAGAGTGGCTTTAGTGAAGTAGAATTTGATCATTCCTGGATTCTCCAGCCATAACACCACCAAACTACACCATTAACCTCTGACATGAACTAGCCAAAATAACAGCATCAGCAGAAGTCATTGCAATCCAGGAAGGTGGGATATTTAAACATTTAAACATAGGGAGGATTGTCAATTACTGATTGAAAACATATCTCTTATTCTATTTTATACCCTGGAAAGTTCTACCCAATTGATTTGCTGTAAAACTCTTAAGAAATCTGCCTAACATTTTAGTCTCCACATTTTTAGTCCAAAAAACTTCAGAAATAATGTTTGGTTGAGTGAAGAAATTTCTTGAAAATGTTTCAACAAAAAGTCTTCTCATGCCTAAAATAAACTTTCACCTTATTAATTAAATCAACAAATACTGATGCATAAGGTTACTATGAGGTAAAAAGATATGACAGAGTCCCCGTCCTCAAGGAGGTTATAATAAACATAAGTACTTAACTAAATGTATGGCAGAATATCATAAGTTCTATAAGAAAGGTACAACAGGAGAGACTGCATGCAGCTGGAGGTCTAAGAAAGCTGTACTAAGGATTTGAATAACCTCTCCCAAACCCAAGCTTTTTAGTTCCCTTTATCTTTATCCACTCCAACGCCCTAGACCTTGTCTTCACCTGAAATTGTTCCATCCTCTAAATCTAAAATTTTGGAACCCTCTTTCAGACTACACTCTAGATCCCTGTTGGGGTAAACTCTTATTCCCCCACTTCCATGAGTCTCCATAGAGAGGGGATGACTATTGTTCACTCCTTACCCCACCTTTACTTGGGAGGAAGGAAGAATAAGCAACATTTTGGCCTTAAGCTTCCAAAAATTTATCAGAAGCTCTGTACTTAGTGGTTATTGGATCCTGTTCAGCCTTTAATAAAGCTGTCCCTTACTCCTTGTGTTTCATTCTCAAAAACTGAGAACTCAGAGAGGAAAGATGGATAAGTTATTGATCCCTAAAACATCCAACAATCCCTTTACATTTCTGTCCAATATGCCCTATAAACCATCAACCCTGGATCAATTCAGTTGTGGTTCTCTACCCCCATCTTAAAGAAAATGCTATAGGCGTAGGAATTAAAAACAATATTCAACTTGACCTCCAATCTTTGGCAGACACTATTTACTACCTAGTACTTTTCTACAGGTCCCTGTTTGGTTTCAATTCTCATTTTCTACAGAAGCTACTCCAAACCCATCTAAACCCTTACTCATAGCAGATGAGCTTGTCTTTAACTTCATTGAGAAAATAGTAGTATTTGGGTTTGAAATATATGAACTTCCTGCCCACACCTACTTCCATAAGCTTTCTGTCTCCTGTTGAATGCTAATCTCTTAACCTGTACCCTTCAGCTTACACAGCAATCATGCTCCATCAGTTATTCCCTCTCTCTCTTGAAGCTTCAACATTTTTTTTTGCTGAGGAAGATTCACCCTGAGCTAACATCTGTTGCCAATCTTCCTCTTTTTCTGCTTGAGGAAGATTAGCCCTGAGCTAACATCTGTGCCAGTCTTCCTCTGTTTGAGGACCTACACAAGTGGTGTAGGTCCATGCCCGGGATCTGAACCTGTGAACCTAGGCCGCCGAAGTGGAGCACACCGAACTTAACCACTATGCCACTGGGCCAGCCCTGAAGCTTCAACTTTTGATTCTAGCAAACCTTTCCTCTCTTCATATTAACACAGTCAAAACCCATTTTAAAAACAAAGCAAAAGAGGAACAACAATGAAACCAAAGCTCTCTCTTCCAGCCTGAACATTCGTCTCTCTATACTTGTTCTCCCTCTTTTAATGGCCAAACTTTTAGAAAAGTAATCTACCCTGGCTTCTCTACCTTTCTACTTTGCATTTGCAGTGCAGCCTAATGCTTGTCACCCCACCACTGAAACTATTCACATCAATGTGACCAAATGACCCCCAAGTTAACAAATTCAACAAATGCTTCTCATTTCTTCTTTGACTTGATCTCTCTACAGTATTTGATGTTTAACAACTTCTGTCTTGAAACTCTCTTCCACTGGCTTTTCACAGCATCACTGCCTTCTGAGGCTCCTTCTATACTTCAGAATGCTCTCTCTCAGTCTTCACTGGTCAAACCTTAAATTTTAACATTTTTCCAGGATTCTATTCTTGGCTTTCTTCTCCTTGAACTAAACTCTCCCTGGGGAGGAGGGAGGGTAAGGAATATTGACACCATGAATTATCCCACGTGCCCATAAATCAATAAGACTAAATCTGAATTCGTTTGCTTCCTGCCCTCCCCTCACTCCTACCAGGGCTTACCTCTATCACGTATAAACTGCTCTGCATTTGTTTATCTGTCTTCCCCACCCTGGCGTGCCTGGGCAACGGACACAACTGTCACCAGTGGTGGCTTCCTAGAGCAAGAACTGGGCGTGTGGATGGGGACAACAACATAGCAAGAGCAATGCATCTTAGAGGACCTAGAATATGTACTTATACAAAGTACCCCAGATGAACTTCACTGAATTGTACTGTGAATATTTTGAGGGAGGTGATATATATAATTTATTCATCTTTGAATCTCTTGTGCTTCGCACAAGTGCCTGGCCCACAGTGGATACTCAATTCATATTTTTTTGAATGAAAGAGGTAGAAGAAGAATGATATAGCTGAGATAAGCTTTGAAGAATTGGTAGAATTTCAACAGCTATAGCTAGAGGAGGAATCATTCAAGTCAGAGGGAACAGGAAAAGCATAGATACAGACAGAAATGCTGGACTGGTGAGGTGTACAAGGACAAATTAATTTGTTGCTTAATTATAAGCAACACTAGAATGCTGAGGCATGATTTTACAAGACTTTAAGACAGAGTCACAGATGTAACCTGACAGGCAACAGCAAGCCAGTGAGGTCTTTTAAGCAATGTGATTTGCAACTGGAAAAGAACTGGAACAGAGGACACCTCTTAAATAGCTACCACATGAATTACCTAAATGAGAAGAAATGAAGGCCTGAACTATAAGAACTGCCTGAACTACAGCAATAGAGTAAAAGTAGAAGAGAAGGAGAAATATTATTTTAAAATTGAAAGTAAAAAACAAACTTTTTGAATATTCAAGAACAATGGAATTAGCTGAAGTATTAAATTTAAAAGAGATGAAAAATTTAAAGCATTAAAACTAAAAAGTCTAAAAAAGAAAAAACTATAAATATTTTTCAAAAAATACATTTAATACATTATTGGTTTATTGACCCAATCATGTATGGTGTTGGGTGTTGGAGTATACAATGTATTTATCAAGTTTACTGTGTTAGTAAGAACTCCAACATGCATAGTTGACACACAGCCGGTAACTGAAGATGGCGTTCTGTACATGCTTAGGAAAGGTCATTCTATAACTTTGGAGTAGGGAGTTAGCAGAATATAACCATACCGTGAAGCTGTTGTTAGCATTTTTTGTGCTTGCTTCAGCTACACTGGCATCTGAGAGGTCAACTTCATCAAATATCAGAGACTGTTAATGAAAAAGAACACAAACATATTAAATGAAAACCTAACTCAATGCTCCTCAATAATTTTTTTAATATCAAGTCATGACTATGAAGCTATGCCAGGATTTAGGAATAGAAAATGAAAATGAACTTAAGTCAGTGATACTCTGTGAGTAAAACCATAAAGTACAACTAACACATAAATCCCAAACTGAAAAGGACTTTAAAGAATCCCCTGGCACACTACGTCAATGCAAAACGCTCTGTACTCTCTAGAAGCATAATTTATGGGGAAGCTTCTAAGTGTGCGACATACACACATACACTCACACATCCCCCACATCTCTAAACCTGTAACAACTTTGCCAGGAAGGGAAAGGCAACGTCATCGTTCCCACATTTGCTAAATGAGAAATGAGAAGCACCTAGTCCTGGCTCAGATTGCCACGAGTTTCTGAACTTTCTGAACCTTATTTTCCACATCTATAAATATGTTCAAATGAAATGATAAATGTGCTCTGTAAATATAAGATGATGTTTCTTTTGTACTCTTAAAAGTGGTTTTAATCAAAAAAGTTTCAGTAGTAAAAACTCCATAGAAATGGAATCTTTAAAAATGTACAATTTAGAGATTAGGAAATTCTAGTGAATAAATGTATCCTTCCCACTTTTAGTCAGTTGGTCATTGTTCACACTCATTCAATGTTCTTGCAGTAAAGCAGATATAAAAATGCAGCTCAGAACTACAGAAAAGGGGGCCCCCTCCTCTGAAAGCTTCCACCGCACCCCTGATCTCCAAGCGGTTATAAAAAGTCTATTTCAATCCAACCAATCTGACTATAGGACTTTTTCCCTGACTAGAAAGAATTTATAATCTAGCACAGGAGATGGAGTAGACACAACTAATTTTAATGTAAGATAGACTATTAAAAGTGGAAGAGAAGAGATACTACGAAATGCTAGGGAAGGTCACAGATAATTTCTCCAGCAGAATACACTTAAACTCTCTTGTGAATGCTGGAATAAAGACTATTTGAGGGGGATCTTAAAGAAAACAGGGAATTTCTTCAAGTGGAGATAGAGGGAAAGTCATCCTGGAGATGGGAAACACAGGGCAAGGCTGAAGGCTATCAAGTGGTCAGAGCTATCTGGAGATAAATGCGAAAAGTCAGGATGGAGCCACATCAGGGACGATCTTGTACATAATGACTTTTAAAATATGATTATTTTATTTGGTCATTACTTCTACAGCTGCATAAACTAAGAATTAGGTTTGTTTGTTTATTTATTTTTACCTCTTGGCATATAACTATACTAATTATATCAGGAACATATATTTTTAAATATGGAAATTATTAATTATTCAACTGGCAGAGGAGCAAGAAACGTCAATGTTTATTTTTAAAGGAATACTAAAATATCATTTTAAATGGAAGCTCATCATTACAAATTTTTTTCTCTCAAAACTACATCATTCTTATTCAACTGTCATATAAAAACTAGTTAGAGCCTTGATTTTATTTCACTATGATTTTTATTCTTAACTGCTAGCAAAATCAACAACACACATTATCCACAGCCGCTCCACTGGAATGTGCTGGAATTGGGATACGAACTTTTGTCTGAAACCAGAGCATGAATTCTTAGCAACTACAGCAATTCTCTGTCTCTTGGTCAGGGAAAGATCTATAAGGTAAAAAGCAGCAAGAAAGGGGGGCAAACCCCAAATTTTGAGTTTATTATATCTAATACAGTTACACTTAATGTTTCATTTTAATTGGAAGGAAAAAAGAAAGAAAGCAAATTATACTAAAACCTTCCTATAAGATTGTTCTTAGGGGACACGGCATGAATTGACTGAAATAGACCCCCTTGGGATTTGGTCCAAGATGGACCACATTTATACTGAATTCACAGAGGAGCAGTAAGGCTACAGTGAGCACCAAGACAAAAACAGCTTACAGAACATCCACAACCTCAAGCGCTTACCACTAGTATTCTCTGGAATTACCTTTGAGTCCTTTGCATAATAGAGCGTACGGCCTCGAAGTTTGAAGTATCGCTTTTTCCACCTCTGGAAAGAACTGGTTTGCTTCAAAAGTTGTCCCTCTTTAATACTGGTCTGGGGAGAAGCAGAAGCAGAATGATATGATTAAAATGGAATCCAAAACCAGACACAATGCAGAATTAATGACACACTATCATTAACATTTTGAATATGATTTCCCATGTCTTACAAATTACATGAGAGACTATTTTCTTCTCACCATTCAACCAAGGGAGCACATGTACAAAGCCCCAAAGAGCAAAGCGCAATGTGACACGGTTCCCTGCTCTCCAAGTAGTCACGCATAGTATGGAGGACACATGCACACAAGCTAACACTTGCAATACAGTGTGATGCATACGTGTAATGTGCGTGTAATGTGATAATGTCATGATTAAGAAAAGCATGGGCTCTGGAGCCAGAAACCTTGTGTTCAACTCCTGGTGCCACTACTTAGTAGCTGGATGATCTCAGACAAGTTACGGAACTTCTTCATGTCTTTACTTATTCATCTATAAAATGGGGATGACAATAAGCCATACCTTATAGAGATGTGGTGACGAATAAATTAAAAACATGTAAAGGACTTCTTGCACGGCACATAGCAAGTCATTTATCATTAGTTATGTGTTATTGTAACAAACACATATTCAAAGCACTGTGCATGGTGGTCCAGAGAAGGAAGCATCAGCTCTGTCTCAGAGGGAGTCAAAGAAGTCCCCCCAGAGGAGAGGCCGGGGTGGGTCTCGAAGGAGTTTATCAGAATGACAAGGGGTGGAGAAGGATATTTTAGATGTGTGCAAAAGTAGAAAGTTTAAAACAGCATGGAGATTTGGGGAATCTTCAAAGAGCTTTTGGTTATAAATGTAGGATAGAGTTTGCAAGGGGGAGCAGTAGGAGATGTGGCTGGAAGAGGTGGGCAGGGGCTCCATGACTCTGGGCCAGACTCTGTGCTAAGTGCTTTGTGTATACAAGTTCATTTCATCGTCACGAACAAAATACTTGGAACCCCTCTGACTTCATCTAGTATCTCTCCCTCGCTTGGTCCCCTCCATCTACAATGGCACTTTGCTTTTGAGTGGGCATGCATGCTCCTCCCTCAGGTCTGGACACTACCTACTCTCTGCTCTGGACTGCCCTTCCCTCAGATATTCATCTGACCGACTCCTTCACCCCCTTCAAGTCTCTGACCTTCTCAATGAGACCCACCTCACTGACCTCCTATTTAATACTGCAACATGCTCTCCACATTTCCCCCCATCCTGATCTTATTTACTCCCCACACAAAGTACTTTCCATCTTCTAAGGTATAATGTAATTCACTTATTTATTATGTTTATTGTTAGCCCTCTTAGAATATAGGGTCCCTGAGTTTATTATATCTGATAAAGTTAATGTTTCATTTTAATTGCAAGGAAAGAAGATGGAAAGGAAGAAGAAAAGTACATTTATAGCAGCCTAAACTTATAGCCTTGCTACGAGATTGTCCTTAGGAGACATGTCACGGGACTGACTCAAATAGATCCCCTGGGGCTGGGGTCCAAGATGGATCACACTTATAGTGAACTCACAGAAGAGCAATAATGCTATAATGAGCCTCCAAGACAAAAACAGCTCATAGAATCAAAATTTTAAATCCATCCCACTGAACTGCACAGTGATGCATCTCAAGTGTCTAGAAAATTATCTGGCACATATGATACTGAGATCTATATGAATGAATAGCAGGTGCTGAGATTAGACCCATGTCTGCTTGACTCCAGAGTTTATTCCCAACTTTTATATCACACTGTGTTTTTTTAGCAACAAGACACGAAATACTGAGAAAAGTTTGTTGTCTCCGAAAGGCAGTTAGGTCATATTAACGTTACTTTCAATTTCAATAAGAGATTTTCTCTAGAGCTTGCTCTCAGATTGTCCTCCAGGAATTGTTGTGAGATCATTAAAACGTAATCATAACAAAATACTTCAAATGATGATAACAAAATACTTTTGAAATTTCAGTACCAAAGAGCCCGATTTACAGTCAGACAGACAGACTTGAAGCCAGGCTCCATCACACACTAACAATATAAACCAGGCCAGTTCTTCAGCCCTCTGTGCCCCAGTTTCCTCTCCTAAAGTATGGGAATAATAATACCAACTTCACAAGCTTGTTGCATCTAATTTAATAATAAGATAATGTCTGGAGAGCACTTAGCACACTGTCTGGGTTACAGAAAACATTCAATAAACGGCATAAAGTGTTATTATTATGATATCATTATGCTATTAAGTTCAGGGAGTATTTGCCAGACACCAAATTATAAGAGCTTCTTGAAAGAAGTGAAGAAGTGTCTGCAGGCCACTGCGAGGGCAAAGAACAGCTAGAGGAGAAGGAGTGTCAAGAGATGAGGTTAAGGGAGACAAGAGTCAGGAGATGCTGGCCACAACAGGGAGTTTGCTTTTTATTCTAAGTGCAAAAAGCTAGTGAAATGTTTGAAGCAGCAGAGTGAGAATGGGAAAACGAATGAGAAAGGAAATGGAGGACCGACTGGGAGGCTGCGGCAGTAGTCCAAAGGGGAGACACTAGAAGCTAGACTAGAAGACGAATGAAGGTTATAGCATCACTGAGACGTGCAGAAGTTGAGGAATTTGAGATGTTATTGTGGAGGCAGAATCCACTGGACTTGCTAATAGATGTGAAGGGCGAGAAAGAGAAAAGAACCAAGGAAAAGTCTAAGCATTTGGCTTGGGCAACTAGATACAAAAGACAGAGAGAAAGGGGTATCAGGAAGAGTTACTTGGTGAGATACACTGTTACCCTGTGTAGCATCTCACGTTACCCAGGGCAGAGAGTGTGTCAGTCTTAAACCCAAACACAAAGTATTGAAACGCTATAAAAACATAACTTATCCAAAGAACAAATCATTTGGCAATTCAGATTATAGAAGTGGGTGTATTGGGATTTTTGTAAAGTTCTGTTTAAGGCAATGAGGAAGATAACTTAATGTTTGGTCTATTTATGTTCTATAAGCACTGTTTTAAGAAAGCATAAATAACCTACTTCATTCTCCACATGGTTATGAGAGTAATTTTCTAAAATGAAAATCTGATTATATTACGCCACAGCTTAAAGCCTTTTATTAGTTCTATTTTGCCTGCAGCATAAAGTCCAAACTTCTATACGTATCATAGAACACCCCTACATAACGCTCTCCAACCCCATCACCTGCCCCTTCCCATGCTCCTCCCTCTGCCCTAAAGTCCTCGCCTCAATTTGCCTGTCTTGAAAGCTCCCCTCCCATTCATCTCAACTCTGATCCACTGCCACTGCCCCTGTGATGGCTTCTCTGATTCCCTGGGAAGAAGCAACCAATGCCACCTTTGTCCCTCTAAGGCATTCTCATCCTAGCTGTATAACCGCACCTACGACACTGAATGGCTTCAGTTTACACGGTTGTGGTCCCACCATGCTGTGACCTTCATAAGAGCAAAGACTGTGTCCTATGCATTTTAATAACATCGCCATCTAACACACTAGCTGAAACCTTAGGGCCTCCATAAATGTTGAACTGAACAACTTTAGTTAAAGTGTAAAATGGTATGTAAGATAACTTTATATTTTAAAAACATGAAAGAATTAGGAAATAGGAAATACTGGCTGGAAATTATTTTATGGTTTCCAGCATTCAGGAGGTCTGAGCCTGCTTCTTTTCACGTGTATCAAAACAGCAGATATAATGCAGAAGGGTGTAAGTGCCCGTAGGAGCACTCCCTGGGTGAGGGGTTGGGGAGAGATAGGCAGAGGGACAGGAAAATGTCCATCTAACCTGACTTTAAGAATATTGCTAATTTAGAGATGATCCTTACATAGTCTTTCACAGCAAATAATTTATCTGTTTTTTCTATATCACTTTATGCTCTTTAAATCTTGCATAAGCATAGATTAATCTGCCACGTGTGAGGCTGTGAGGACTACAAAAAGGTGTAAGACATAGTCCTCATCTTCATGCATTTACAGACTTCTTTGTGTTATAATATATAAACAGTT